TCTTCCATCCCACCTTCAAAGCTGCTCAAGGATGCCCTTAACAGCCATCCCCTCAGGTGATCATTCTGGATCTCTCCCTTTCTCATCCACACTTATGGCCTTTAGCACCTGGCTCCAAACTGCTCAGAAGCACCAATGACTTAATTATCAATGAGCATTTAAGGGCTTACTGTGGGGTCCTTCAGGGCCGACGGCTGCTGGATACTCTTATGGCCCTCCTTCCCTCAGTGACCCACACTGCATCCCCACTTCAGTGTTCACTATGACTCCAAGGTCACTGTGTCCAGCCCAATTCTCTTCCCTACCTTCTATCTTGTTCAGTCGTGTCTGACTTTGTAACATGGAGAAACCCCCTTTAGGACCACAGAGATAAGTGAGTTGCCCAGGGTCACGCAGCTCAGCTCGTGTTGAGGCTAGATTTGAACTCCAAAGATGAGTCTGACTTCAGGCCTGACCTTCTATCCCATTTACAACCTAACTGCCCTCTAGTACCACCAACTGCCTCCATGTTTACATTTCAACATGTACAAAAGAGAACTGACCCCTCCCCACCACTTTTTCCACAGAAATGGTGTAAAGTGGGATCATAACTTGAGAAACCACAACCACTCCACTCACCCCATTCACTCAAGCTTTCCCTCATTACCGATTGGGCTCCCCTTGTCCTCCCAAATGCTGACATCAATCTGAGCAGACACATCATCTCACACCCCTTACTCTAGTGGCTCCCACAGCCTGCCAGCCACGAAGCCATCTCTCCAGCCACCGGGTAGGCCTCCCTGCCCACTCAATTCAGCACCCCCAGAGCAGCTTTTGACCTGTACCATCTCCTCCTGTCATGGCTTAGCCAAGATGGGAATACACACCTTGATCACAATCTGTTTCAGGTGCAAGTGGGGTTGTCCCACAAAGCTTTTCCCCCATTCCAAATGCTAGTTCTCTCCTTCCAAATCACCTTGTTTTAATTCTTAGGTACAAATCTTCCATTCTGAATGCAGACTGGGTAGGGAATTTCATCTTTTACCCCATCCCTGGTCTCAATCTAAAGATAGGATCTGTTGGGACCAATAAAAGGGCTGATCTTGGCTTTAAAGGGACCAGCATATATTAATATGCTATTAACAAGACCAAGGGGTTTTGAGATACAGACAAGGGGGTCAGAGTGAGTTCATGGCCACGGGCCATTTCCAATGAATTAAGAGGAGCCTGACAAAAAGGAGAGGCAAAGTGGGAGATCTGAGATAAAAGGTTGTGAACAGACTTTATGGAGAATGTACAAGAAAGGGGAAAGGCTGTGATGAGGAAAGCTGGCAGGAAGTTAAAGGAGACACACAGTGTACCCAACTAGAGCCTACTCGAGAGAGAAGATATACTAGCAAAGGAGGAAACAAGGATACTAAGACAGAAAGGAGTTTATAGTGATGTAACTAGAGCTTGATATGACCTGATGGTGAGCAAGCAAAAATCTTAAGGGCAACACTAGGCTCTACGTGGTTTTTAACCAAAATATGCTTTAAAAATTCAACACTTTATTTTATTAAGCACCCAAGGCTGTGGGTACAAAGCCATTACAGAGACCAAGCTCTGCCCCTGGAGATTTTCAGCCCCACAGGATCTCCCCAAGGTCCCTCATATCCCAAGGTTGGATGGAGCTGCAGATCTAGTCTAGCCCCTCTCTACATTCCTGTGGTCCATTCCACTTTACCCCAGGAGGGAGAACCACTCCTTCCCAGAAGCAGGCAGCCCACCTCAGGACTGACATCCTGCCTTCCTCAGTTAAGGACACGCCTAATACTGAACGTCCTTCCAAGCCCTCCTTGCTGTGAGTGGTGGCCCCCAGAGGGCTCCCCTTCCCTGATGGAAGCGATGGCAAGAGGGGGACAGAAGGAGGAGCCAGGAATCCAGTTGCCGTAGAGGATAGACTTTATTGGACTCACACCAGCAGCCCGTGCTTCTTCAGCACCTTTGTGTATTTGTGGATTTTGCCCTCCACATTCTTCTCAGCTTGCTTCCGTAGTTTCTGTGAAGGAAAACACAATTTGTAATTATGGGTCCAGAAACTAAGCAGCTGAGGCCCTCCCCTCCTGCACCCTCTGGCATCAGCTGAGCCATGTGGCTTTGTCGGCAGTCCCCTGGGGGCATCCGAAGACCATCGTGAGAACAAACATCATCTGCCAAGGGGCACCTCCATCCCCCAGAACCTAGACCTCACCGTAAGCTTCTTTTTCTTTCTATAATGGATCTTAGCCTTCTCCTTCCTCTTCTCTTCCAACGTAGCAGTCACTGCCTGATACTTCCAGCCAACCTCGTGGGCCAGGCGTCCCAGATAAGCAAACTGATGCGGGGAACAGATTAACAAATCAACATCCAGGACGCCTCTTCTTTCCACCCACCAAGTAACAGAACACCCCTGAAATCCCCCAGCATTCCTGGTTCTGAAAAACAGCCCCAAAGGAAGGAAAAACCATTTCATCCTAGGCCTGCACACTCGGTACCGCACCCCACCCCAGCCCCTTTTTTGTACTCACCTTTCTAGTCGGCTTCAGTCTGACCACTTTGAGAGCAGCTGGGACAACCATGCGTTTCCGCTGCAAGGGGGAAGGAACCAATCAGTGGGTAATGGCAGAACACTAAGGATGCTGGGAGAAATAAGGAGACGGGGAACACCAGTGCTCTACTGAGAGTACAAAGAGCCACGTGGAGAAGCGCACCTCCCACCCCAGAGTCGGTCTGGAAAAAGGCGTCTCAGAAAACAAAGCTTTTCTCAAGTAGATATCAAACAATGTAGGTAGAGACATCACTGACGCCAGGACCAAGACCCCTTCTGGGTAAGCTCACCTTGTCATACGGTGGAGGAATGCCATCAAACACCTTAAGGCGTTCCAAGGCAGCCTGACCTCGCTTGGTCTTGTGGGGAAGCATCCCTAAGGAGAACAGGTCACTGTGAGAAGCTAAGCCTAGAAACCTTTAAAACTCGTAACAGAACAACCCCCCCCCCCCCCCCCGAGATCTCAGATGGAGGTGCATGGATCTTTTCATCTCATGGTCGGTAGAACTCGAACATGCGATAACTAGCAGCATCATCACAGTCTCAGCTCTCTGGTCCCTCGGAGCCCTCATCACCACCGGCAGGCCCCTCACCTCTAACCGTCCTCCAGAAAATGCGGCTCGGGGCTCTGAAGTGGTAAGGGCCTCTTGAAGGGTTTGTGTTCATTCGCTTTCGGAGGAAGGCCAGGTATTTCACTGCAGGAAAACAGGCCATTTCAAAACAAAAATGCTTCCACCTTCTTCCGTTAATGCTTCCCCCTCCCCCGCCACGCCGGAAGGAACACGCTCCTCCAAAGCCGGCATCAGCTGAGCCTTAAGGCAGAATCAACAATAACCCCCATCGGTCGGGGCCTCTGAAACCATCGCGAGAAAGGCCATCACCTGCCGGCAGCAAGCCCACAGCCTCCCCCCAACTCACACTTGTTCCGGTAGAAGTTTCCGGAGATGTTGATGCCTTCGCAGCGAACCACGACCACCTTCCGTCCTGCGCGGGTGAGAAAGGCCCAGGTCAGTGCCACATAGGGAGGTGAGGGTCTCTCGCCGGCAGGGGAGGGCCGGGGCAGGCCTCAGAGCGGTGCATGGTTTGGTCTCATGGTCGTGAGACTCGAACGAAAGATGGTGAACGTTCCTCATCACCGGCCTGGCCTCACCGCGCAACTCACGGCCCGCCCCGCACTTACCCAGGAGGACCTGCTTGGCCACGATGGCCGCCAAGCGACCGAGAAGATGGCCCCGCCCGTCGATCACCAGGACCTGGGGAAGCAGGGGGAGACGCGGGGGTCAAGGCCGGCCCAGGACCCCGGGGCCATGTGACCCTTCCCCCCCCCCCGCCGCGGCCAGGCCGGGTCCGTGGCCGAGACGCAGGGGCGGGCACTACGGCTCAACACCCCCCCCGCTGCCCCTCATCGCTGGGCAGCCCAGATGCTGCCCTGCGGGGGCCGCACTGCCACTCGCCTAGACTCCAGAGGCGCCTGGGCCCGCCACCGAGGCCGGAGCGCTCACCTGCCCGTCCGCCATGGCTGATGTCGCCCGGGAAAAGAAGGAGCTCCGCTTCCTTGGGGGCCTCCTTATCCACCTCGCAGGGGCGCCGGAAGTGACGCAAGGCCGCTGCGGCTCTCTATAGGTGGAAGAGCACTTCGTTCCTCCCCCCCCCCGGGAGGGCAAGGGCCTGCGACGCTGCGGCGCAGGCGCGGCGGCCCATGGGCGGGAGGGCTCCTCCGAACGAGGCCGGCAGGAGTTTGGCGCAGGCGCAGAGACTGACGCTTCTCAGGGAGGCTGAGTTCGTGAGCCGGGGGGTGGGGCGGGGCTCCTGGACGATTCACGTGGTCCGGCTGCCGGACTCTTGGGGGCCTCCGTGTCCGTTCGCGGACCTTTCAGCGCAAGCTGCTGCCATCTTGGTGAGGGGCGATCCGCCTCAGAAGCGCACATGTCCGCCCGCCGACATTGTTCCGCCCTGGCCTGCCCGCCCCCCAGCCCTTGAGCGCGCGGCGTTGAAAGCCGCCGCAAGGCTGGCCCAGGCGGAAGGGGCTCCGGTTGCTCAGTTACCAGCCGTGGGCTGGTAGCGTGGCGTCAGTTTCCTCTGCCCCCCCCACCCCCTCGCAGTTTGCATGGGGGTGAATAGGTCTCACTAGCTTCTCTTCCGGGCCTTTCATGGGGCTCTGGTTATGCAGCCTCTGCTGGAGACTTCCAGAGACAGGGAGCTCACCACATGCCCTTGCAGCCGGCCCATTCCGCTTCTGGACACAGCCGAGGGGTGTGGGGCGCAGCATGGGGAGGGACCCCTTTCTCTGGGTACTGGCAACCCTGAAGCCCCACCCCGACTAACCCACCCCCAGCCCTGCAAGGGCTCTTCCTACCAGGCCGGTGACCACCCTCCAGATCGGGGTCTGAGGCCGGCCAGGGCATCTCCTGCCTTGACCTGTGTCTGTCCACAGATTCCACCCAACAAAATCTATTAGAAAATGTTTTATGTACATCCTCAGAGCTTTGTACAGAGGGTGGGCTGGTCCAAAGGTACCCGGCAGGTTACCCTTCTCGAGGAGAGAGAAGGGGCAGTAGGCACCGGGTTTTTTTTGGGGGGGAGTGCTTAGCTCCCCAGAAGAGAGCAATAACTCAACTCATCGAAGGAGAAGGGAATGAGGCCAATCCTAAGCTAGGTTCCTTATGGAAGGCTTCCTCAGGAGGTAGCCCCAGCTTCTGGGTTTTGCCTTCAAGGCCCTCCAGACATCTGTGTCTTCTTTCAAAGCACCATCACCTGCATATCCTGGGGGACAGAGTTTGGGGGGCCCTAGCCACAGCCCCCCGGCAGGGAATCAGCTGCTGTCTGTGCACATGGGGGGGGCACCCACTATCCCACCCACATTGAGCTGAGCCAAGCTCACCTGGGGTGTTGGGGACTTGGGGGATCTTGATGGTCTCGAGTGTCTCTTTCTTTGCTTCCACCTCCAGGCAGCCACCAGGATCAGTAGCAGCAGAATTGGCAGCACCCCCAGCGACAGCAGATTAAATTTGGAGGGCTTGGGTGGTCTCAGGGTGTTTCCCAGTGCCCCCAGACTGCCAGGTGAGGGGAGGGTGGAGACAGTGGAGGGCTCTGTGGGAAGGGGGATGGGGATACCGGTGAGGAGGTAGAGTGCTTCCTACGACTGTGCAGCCCAGAGTCCCACCCTCCTCACTCTGGAGCCTTAGTGCTCCCTCTGAAGGGAGAAGGTTCTTGCCTGGGCACCTCACCTGGCTGGCAGCGATACTGTTGGCAGGGCTGGAAGCTCTGGTGAGTGATGAGGGTCTGCAGGGCTGCCAGGTGGCTGGAGACATCCAGGAGGAGGTGAGAGATGTTGGCTTTGCGGAAACGGAGGCAGCTGGGAAAGGACTGGGGAGCCGAGGAAGGGAGGTGGGGGGCGTCACACACCACATCAGTCCCCCCTTCTCAGAGCCCCACGGCCTAGGGAAGAGCCAGCCCTAGCAACAGCTTGGGACAACCGATGAAGGCTGCCTCATCCCCCTCTCTCTCCCAGCGGAGCCTCCCGGGCCCCTTGTTATACCTGCGGTGGGCCCAAAGACCCCCCCAGGAAGCAGAATGCCTAGGATTGAGCTCGGGGACAGAATGCAAGGGACTGACCTGGTTGATGCATTGACTGACAAAGTTGACCTCAGTGTACACAGCCTCCAGGGGGACCTGCAGCTTCCTCCCAGCCACCAGCTTCAGGCGCTCCAGGGTTCCCTTGGCCAAGGCCAGGTGCCACAGGGCCCAGCACTGCTGGTCCTAGGAGAGATGCCCGGATGCCTCAGTCTTTGAGGAAATGCAGGGTAGGGATGCCTGGGTCCCCCCACCGTGAGTGGGAGCTTTGGAAGAGTGGCTCCACCCCCCCTACCCCATTTCTCCCACCAGACTCACCGCCTGAAGATTAGCCGGGACATCCACTGGGTAGTCCCTGAGCATATAGTCGGACTGTAGGGAGAAATGCTTGTTAGGGCTCTGCCCTGGGAGCCTCTGAGATTAGGTGAGACACAGAGAGAGACAGATAGGAAAAGAAACGGACAGAAACTTACCTGTATTCCCAGTCTGAGAGAAACAGAGATTTAGACTCTCCACCACAGAGGTATAAACACAAATATAGAAGTTTCAGAGACAGAGATGTAGGGAGACGGTCTTGGAGAGACTAAGAAATGTGTACTGAGAAAAGGAGACACAAGAGATTTGTAGATTCTGGGACATGCAGAGAAATAAATGCAGAGATCAGAGGCAGAGAGAGAAAGAGACCATTCAACAGCAAAATGCAGTCAGGGAGACCAGCGGAGGCAGCAGGAGCAGAGCCTGAGCACTGATTCTCACCAAGTCACTGATGGCCTGGAGGAAGGTGGAGCTGACAGGGCTGTCCGGGAAGGTGCAGGTATCCTCGGTGCTGGCGGGGGCGTTCTTGGGGAGCAGGAGCAGCGGGAGCAGGAGCTTGAAGGCCTGGGGTGTTGGGGAGACAGAGCTGGGGAGAGGCCTCTGGTTCCTTCCCCCGGATCTGCATTGCTTCAGTCCTGCTTCTGTCTGGACGTGTCTCCTGAATTCTGCCTCTCTTGCCCCACCCGTCTCTCTCTCTCCTGCCTCCCCACTTCTGCCTTTACCTCCCTTTCTCTTTTCCCTATCTGTGTTTGTCTTTGTGTCTCCCTTCTCCTCTCTCATCCTCATCTCTCCTCTCCTTCTGAGTCCTGCGTGGCTCTGCCTCTCTTTCTCCCCATCTGACTTTCCCCGTCACCGTCAGTTTGTCCCCGTTTCCATCTCCTAACACTCTTATCTGTTCCCCTTTCTTACATCCCTGTGTCCCCATCTCTGTCTTCATTCCTCCTGGTTGCCTATCCCTGTCACTATTTCTGTCTGCCTTCCTCCTCTGTATTGATGATGCTACCCCCATCCCTATCTCAGTCTTTCCCCCCTATTTCTGCCTCCCATATCCCTGTCTCCATCTGTTGGGAATACGCACAGTGAGGGGCCAGGCTGGGGCTGGGGCGGTCATCTTGAGTTGGGGCCCCTCATGCCGCTGCCGGGCCCTGGGGGGGGGACAGAGCCGGCTCAGCCAGGGACCCAGGCGTCCGGGCGCCCTCCCCCAGCCCCTTCATGTGGCTGTTTCCTCCCCCACCCTGCTTCCTGCCCCCGCCTCATTACTGTGAATCATGCCCAACCTTCCAGGAAGGCATCCCATGCCTCAGCTCCCCTTGGCAACCCAGGCACCCCCTTTCTCAAACCCCATGGAGACCCAAGCATCCCCTTCCCACCCTCCCTCCTCAGGTAACCAATCCCCCCAACCGTAATGGAGATCTAGGTAAGCCTTCCCTATCTTAGCCTTAACCCAGGCACTCCCCCTCTCTCAGACCCCTTGGGGACCCAGGCGTCTTCTCCCCTAACTCCTCTGGGACCCAGGCATGCTATCCCAGCCCCGCACCAGGGTCCCTGTCTAGGCCGGGAAGGCCCAGGGCAGGTCTGGGCCCAGACATCAGAGATCGAAAGTGAAAGATGTTTTGGGGAAAAGTTTGGGAATCCATGGGGGGAGGAGCCCTCTGGTGGCTCTGAGTTGAGCTGCAGGAGGCAGGGGACGCCTGGGTCCTTCCTCAGGTCTGAATCAGCTGGGAGTTCTGGGTTCCAGCCTCTACAGAGTCCCTGCTCTCAGCTCTATCCAAGGCTCTGTCCCCTTCTGAGAAAGGAGGGGGTTGGATGGGAATCTAAAACCTTGGAGCTCTGAGGGACAATGCCCAAACAGGCAGAGGGTGGAGGCCCAATGCCTATGGTCAGAGACACAGCTGGTGGAAGAGGAGAAATACAGAGAGGAGAAGCAGAGATATCAGCATGGAGAGACAGAGAGAAATACACTAAAAAAGTTGGGAACGGGAGTAAAAGACAGGGTCAGAGAAAGGAGAAGGGAACAACAGAGGCAGAGGAGAGGAGGTGCTAGAGACTGGCCATGTACTGCCCCTCTCAGGACTGAGTGCCTCCCTATTGCTTGTGTCACAGATGAAATACCAGCTGCTGTTTACCACTTCACACTCTTTATGCTACACTGGTACCTTGGTGAAGCTGTCAAATGGTACAACCATTTTGTAGAAGCAGTTTGCAGTCATGCAAATAAAGTGACTAAAATGCTCATACCCTTTGACCCAGAGAGTACAATCCTGAGCTTATATTCCAGGGAGGTCATTGATATGTACCAAAATATTTATAGCAGTGCTTTTTGTATTGGCAAAGATTTGGAACGGCTAAGCACACTGGCATGTGAATGTAATGGGAGATCACTGCACTGTAACAAAATATGATTGGGGATGAATTCAAGAAGCCTGGAAGGTTCTCCATGAACTGATGCAGGACAAGGTCAGCGGAGCTGAGAAAAGAGACACAGTAACTCCAATGATAAAGATGGAAAGAATGACCACACACAAAAAAAAAGATCAACAGTGAATATAACAAAATTACAAAGAACAAGCCAGGCTGGAAAGAAGAGACAGGGGATGTTGGCCCACCTTTTGCAGAGCGTAGGTTCACAGGTGTCACATTGTACATATTCTCAGACTGTCACCATATTGATCAGTTATGTTGACATTCCTGTTTTTCTCTCATTTTTAATATAACTATTATGTGAGATGGCTCTTTGGGAAGGTGAGGGATAATGGAGGAAAATTATGGTAAAATTTTTGAAATCATCAAAAACATTGAAAAAAACCCCAGGCCCTTCACAATCTAGGTCCAGCTTGCCCTTCAGTCCTATTACATCCTACTCCCCTTCACAAACTGTGGGTCTCGGCCTGAAAGGCCTTGCTCTTCACCACCCCATCTCCCACCTCCAGGCCTTTGGCATGGGTTGTCACCCTATTCCACTCCCCCTGCCCATGCTAGGAATGTCCCCCTCTCTTCGCCTCCGTCTGCTGTAAACTATATCTCTCTTCTAAGGTCAGCTCACATGCTGCCACCTTCCAGTTCTTTCATCAGCCACTGGTGCTTCCCTCCCAAAGTACTTTGTATAGAAATGTGGCAGCCGTCACCCCTTCCCTTTCCCACCTAGAATGGTAGCTGCTAGAGGGCAGGGACGGCTTCATTCTTGTCTGTGTCCCCAGGCCTGGCATGGTGCCCACCACTTACAAAGTGGTTGAACCAAGATGTAGAAAGACTGATGATACTAATGGAACTGGGGGGGGGGTGCAGTCAGAGGGATTGAGGGGACTTCAGAAGCAGGAGACTGTAACACTTGGCAGGGTGTGGAACCGAGGAACTGAGGGTCTAGGAGCCCAAAGGAAAAGTGATTTCCATGCCGAGCCACCTGACCCAATCCCAAGAATGAGGAGCTGCCCTGGCCATACCCTGTCTGCATTGGCCTGAGAAGGGCCCCAAGAAGCCGGAGGTGTCCAGAGCAGGGCAAGGGGCCTCCAGTCTAGGCCACACAGAGACGAAGGAATTGGAAACACTCAGCCTCCGGGGCCAAAGGCTGGCTTGCTGGAGCTGGGGAGTGGGTTTGCTTTGCTTAGCACCAGAGTGCACACTGAGGAGCCTGGGGGGTCCAGGAGCCAGCAGCAGAGGCTGGCAGAGGAGAAGCTTCCTTGTAACTGGAAGGATTCCACAGTGGCCAGGCTGCCCCTCAGGGGATGGGGTCCCCCAACCTGGAAGTCTCTGAACACAGACTGGACGGCCCCAGTCTGAGATGCTGCCCAGGCAAGGAGGCTTTGGAGTTCCCAGAGCCCCCTGCAGACTCCAGGCTTCCCTGACCCCTTCCCAGCCCACTTCTTTCTCCTCAGAAGCATACCAGATGTACATGAGATCGTTTATTCAGGTGAGAACCACAATGAGGGGACAAGGCGGGGCTCAGTCCTTCCAGGTGCCCAGCAGCCGTGGGTTGCAGGACTAAGTGGGGGATGGGGTAGGAGGAGGGGCTCAGATGTCTCCCAAAGACAGCCAGAGAGCCTTAGTACGGGCTGCCCGAAGGCCCAGCTCGGGTCCGGCCCCCTCTGTCTCTCGGTCCCAGGATCGGCTCTGACCCCTGTTCACCCATATAGCCTTTAGGTTCCCAGCTGAGGCCCATTCCACAAACCGGGAGCCCTGGGAAGAGATGCTGAGGTCACAAAGGGGCAGGGCCAGGGCCAGGACTGAAACTGGGGCCCAGGCTCAGAATCTTTGAGCTGGATAGAGCTTAGGAGGTCACTGGGTTCAACCAGCCCTGGCTGGCCATCACCTCAACCCAGGGCCTCTGGGAAAGGGGCTGGGGCTGGGGCATAGGCAGGAAGGGGGAGTACCTGGGCAGAGCCAAAATACCACAGGGCAGGTACATCCTGATGAAGGGCCAGACAACGGGTGAGGTGGTCCCGGTCCCCCCGTTACCACGTTCACTAGGCCAGGTGGGAGCAGGCAGGCCATATCCTGGCAGGAAGAAATGCACACTGGGGGCGGGATACAGCTCTATCCAAGGTGCTCAGGGGACGGTGGGGTGGAGGGCAGGAAAGGCTGGTGGGGGCAGGCGGGAGGGTCGGGGGCCCAGTACCTGGCAGAGCTGGAGGGCCGGCAGTGGACAGGCCCCACTGGGTACCACGATGACAGCATTGCCATGGGCCAAGGCTGGGGCCAGGAGGGATACAAAGGCAAGCAGGGGCTGCTCCTCTGGACAGACGATGCCCAGCACTCCGAGGGCCTCTCGAAGGCGTAGAAAAGGCCCCTGGTGCCCAGCGCTCTGGAAGGAGGTTACAGGATCAGGGGGCTGCCAGACGGGACGGGATGGGGGACTGAGGAAGGGGGGCAGCAACGAAAAAGAGGCTCACGTGCAGGCCGGCTCCCTGGGCATGGACCTGCGCTCCCCAGGCTCGCAGTCGGGCAGCGCTCAGTACCACTTCAGTCTGAGCGCCCACGGGGTCAACGCCTGTCACCTCTGTCAGCTGTTCTGCCAGGGCCTGGCTCCTCTGGGACAGCGCATCGGCCAGTGCCCACAGGGTTGATGCCCGGCTCCCTGGCACCCGACTGGCCCAGCTGGCGGACAGGAGAGAGGCAGGGTGAGGGCGGCCCTGGGAGCTGGGGCCAGCCCACCCGCCTCCCATCACTCCACTCACAGGACCGCTGCCTGGTGTGCTGCTTCCACAGCCACTCGGATGTCCTTGGCACTGCCCTCTGCCACGTGCACGCAGACGTTCCCACTGGAGCCCAGGATGGGCCTTGAGCTACGGCTGGCAGGATTCTGGAAGTGGCCGGCCAAAAAGACCCCATATGGGGCAGTTGTGCTGAAGGAAGAGGCTGTGGTGAGGACCCCAAGACTACTGTGCTCAGGCCCTGCTCTGGGATCCCCCTCAGAGGCCTGAGCAGGAGGGTTTGGGGGGAGCTGGGAACTGACCTGGGGGAGGAGGTATCAGGGCCAGACGGCAGAACAGGTGGGGCAGACAGGCCAAACTTCTCATAGTCCACACTCTCCAAAGGCCCTCCAGACCTGGGGGGGAGGTCCACGGGGTGGAGGTACTCATAGAGGCCCTGCAGGGGTGAGCGCCAGTTAGGAGAGCAGGCAACCCTCCAGGGAGAGAGAAAGGTGGCGGAGGGCGAGGGGGTGCAAGGGTCACTTACATCAGGGCCCCCGTGCCAGGATGACCCGTTCTCCTTGCAACCACCCATGGGGGCGCCTGCGTCCTTGAGTCCATGGGCATTAATCCAAACAGTGCCCATTCGGAGCCTAGCAGGAGAGCCCGGAACACAAACAGAGACCATTAGGGACACCCAGAGAAACAGATAGATACAGACTTGGGAGGTGGCTGGGGGGTGGGCATTGAGATGATCTGGGGCGCCCTGGAAGGCGTGTAGGGTCTAACTGAGCAGCTGTGGGCAGAGGGAGACTGAGGCTGTGAGTCTGAGGGCCCGGTGATCCTGGCAAGTGAGAGTGGGGTCAGCAGGAGGTTAAGAGACCCCCAAGACATGAAAAGGAGTGCCCTGAAGGACCATGAGGACAGTGACATGTATGTCATGCTTCCGAGGTGCCAGGCCCTGTGCCGAGAGCTTCACAATTACTTCTCACACATGTTCCTCACAGCATCCCTGGGAGGGAGGTGCAATTATGACCCCCATTTTACAGAAGAGAAGACTGAGGCAGGCAGAGGTAAAGTGACCTGCCCAGAGTCTAGGGCCTCCTTACTTATAGGCCAAGTCCAAGGCCAACGTGAGCCGCTCACTCCACACGCTGGCACTGCCCCCTCGGGGGGTGCCATTGACCATAGCCAGTGCCTCCTTTGCCGTGCGGAATGGGGAGATCACAACCAGAGGCCACGGCACCTGCAGCCACCACAGGAAGAGAGGTCGGGACATGGAGGAAGCCCAGGCTCTCAAGGGACCCAGGTGTCCCCAGGCCTGCTTCCACAGGGCTCTGATCACCGTGCCAGCCGTGGGGACCAGGCCTGGGATGTCCCCCACCCGGGGGCTTGCTCACCTCGGCCTGGGCACATGGGCTTGCCGGGGCCAGACCCAGGATCAGCGTTGGGGGAAAGAATGGGCTGTCTGGGGGACGTTTCCAGCTTGGAATATCTGCACGAAGGAGAGAAGAGGCAGGAGCCCTCAATTTCATCCAGGGGGCACTCCCCACTGCGGCATCTCCCGCGGCCCAGCACACTCCAGGCTCCTCACCTGTGCCCCCTGGCTCTGGGCTTCCTGAATATACTTCTGGGCTGTTTCCCAGGCAGAGACTCCAGGGGTGCCCATGTCCACGGCCCAGTCCAAGCTCCGGCCTTGACGCACCCCACACATGCGGGCCTTGAGTCTCTCCAGGATCCGTTCCCACTCACACGCCTGCACCAGCAGCCGCAGCCCACCCTGAGGTCCCAGGGCCCAGGTCAGCTGGGCTGTCTGGGAAGACCTCTTGCCATAGCCTGGCCCACCCTGCTCCACCCCCTTCCCGTCCTCTACCATGCTCACCAGCCGCAAGGGGGAAGCCAGCAGGACACACACAGCTGTCCCCCCAGAGGCCACTCACCGGGCTGCGGTCAGACCAGACTGCATCTACTACCCCTTCCACCGCCGAGTCCAGGTCGGCTGTATCTGTGATCACCAACAGAGACTCTGTGCCCAGGCTCAGGGAGAGGTCAGTGCTGCTACCGGCTAGTGCCCTACGCAGGGCCTTGCCTTCCTGGGGGCGGGGTGGGGGGGGGAATCCCAACCATTCAGCACCTTGCCTAGGCTCTGGCAGGCCACCCCCTGCCAGGACACCAGTGCCCTCCCGAACCCTGAGTCCTCGCCCCTGTACCTCCACAGTCCCGCAGAAGGTGATCTTGGCAATGCCAGGCAGGGTGGGGAGCAAGGTGCCTAGGGAGGTGGCTCCCATGACCACATTGAGGACCCCTGGGGGCAGCCCAGCCTCCTCGCTCAGCTGGGCCACAAGTAGTGAAGTCAGACAGGTTGGGCCTCCAAGGACCACCACAGTACACCCTGGCGTGGAAGCCAGAAATCAGTGAGCGAGCCAATCCACAAACCTAGAAGCCAGGACTGTCCTCCATGAGCTCTGGAACAAGGAGGAGACAATGCATCCAAGACGGCTTGGGGCAAGGGGAGGGAAGAAAAGGAGGAGTCCACTTCTGGGCCGCTGAGGCACAAAGGGGAGGGGATGTCGTGGGAGGGATGGGGCGGGGGAGAGAAGGCCAGCCGGCTGCCCAGCTCAGATAGAGACGCCGAGAGAAGCTGGGAGGGCGGGCGGAAGCCGCACTGGCAAGGGCCCCAAACGCCAAGAAGAGCCAGGAGCTCAGTAAGCAGGGAATGATGGCTGACTGGACACTTTCAGGGAAATCGCTGTAGCTGAAGAGAGGACAGAATGGAGGCGGACAGCCCCCCCCAGCAGCTGCGGCCACCGTCCAGGCCTGAGGTGACCAGGCCTGTGCCAGGGTGGGGGGCGTCACAGGAAGGAAGGGGCGTCTTCGAGAGATGGGGCGTAGGTGAAACCAGAGGCCTTGGCAGGAGCTCGCACATGAGGTACGAGAGAGAATGAGGAATCCAGGATCATTCCAAGGCTGGAAGCCTGAGGGACTGGGAGCGACGGGGCTCCTTGGACAGAGCGCTGGACATGGAGTCTGGAATGTCAGATTTGAAATCCAGCCTCGTAAATTTACAAGCTGTGTGATCCAAGGCAAGTCACTTAAGCTTAGTTTCTCAGTTTCCCTCACTGTAAAACAGAGCTAATCATAGCACCTACCTCCCAAGGTTCTAAGGATGAATGAGGAAGGTCTGGTAAAGTGCTTAGCTCAGTGCTATTATTACTGGGAGGATGATGGTGCCCTCAACATGAGGTGAGGAGGCTTTGAAAGGATAGAGAATTCCTTGTTTTGGGTATACTGAGTCTCAGGCACCTAGGGGACAGATCAGGGCTGGACGCACAGATCTGGATCACATTGAGACGCAAATGGAATCCATAGTGATCGATGAGGTCACCAAGGGAGAGCGTCTCAAGAGAGAGGAGGGCCCAGAACAGTGTGGTCTGGAGACAGAGAAGAAGCAGCAGACAGGGAGGAGGGGGACCGGGGGGGACCTGGAGAAGAGAGAGCAGGCATGAGAAGAGAGGTCACCACAGGGTTAAAGGGAGGACTCATCTGGCCACCAGGAGGCCACAGGTTAATGCCGAAGAGAACGGAATGATGAGCATGGAAACCGGACTGGCGAGGAAAAGAATGAGAGAAGGAAGCAAGAGTGGATGGGGGTTTTCTTGAGGAGTTTGACTGGGAAGGGGAGGAAAGATGGAGGAGGAGGGTGTGTGGAAAACAGAAGGGCTCAATAAGGAAAAGGGGGTGGGGTCCAGCCCTGGCTAGTCCTTCCTAGGAGCCCCAGCCCTGGGACAGATGAAGGGCCAGGAGAAGGGTGAGAACAGGCTTCCCATCACCCAAGAGTCCAGGGTAGGCCCCAAAGGTTCACCCTGTGGCCCTGACTTACCCACAGCCAGGGCCGGGCAGATTCTCCACATCATCTCAATGAAGGAGAACGTTGGCGGGAGAATGACAGCTACCACTCCTGGGAAAGGAAGAGCAGGGCTGGCACGGCGCGTGCTGGTGTGGGGCATGCCCAGGGGAAGCTTTTTTAAGGGGTTGGGGGCTCTCACCCGCGGGCTCCCATCCTGCCAGGGCCCGCTCCTGGGTCTGGGCCCAGCAGGCATGGTATCGCAGCAGCTGACAGGCCAGAGGAACGTCCCCATCCCGGACCTCACGCACCACACGACCTGACGCCAGCGCCTCCAGGATCCACAGAAGCTTCTGATGCTTATGGATTGTCTCTGCCAGCCTAGGGGATGCAGGGGACGGTGAGGTCAGCCGCTGGCTCTCCCAGAGGCTCGTGAGAGAGTATGTTCCAGTGGAGTGGAAGCTCCTGGAGGGCAGGGCCTGTTTCTTTCTGTTTGCTCAGTAGGCCAAGTAGGGAAGAGCTCCTCTGATTCTCCCAAAAAGGACAGGAATATCTATGTTTGCTTCCCTTCTCCTTCCACCCCCCACAAGGCCAGGCAGGGCAGCCATGTTTGGGGCCCCTTACCTGATCAGGTGCTGGGCACGCGTCGCCCCAGGGAGCTGGCTCCACCCTCCAAAAGCCTGTTGGGCCACCTCCACAGCCAAAGCCACATCTTCCTTCTTGGCCTGGAAGCAGCTGGCCAGGAGCTCGCCTGGCCACAGAGCTCTTAGATCTACAGGATGTAAGCACCCCACCCCTCGTCCCCAAAACAAAGGCGAGGCGTCCCACGCCCCTGAGGACCAGGGAGCATGACCAGCAGGGAGGGAGCCAGGCCTCAGACCCGGGACGTCTGGAGAGAGGGGGATCACTGGTACCTGAACATGGGTCCCTACAGCTGATGGTGCCTCGGCCCTCGGGTTTCAGCCACTTTCCGTTCACAAAGTGGCCCAGGTTTGAGCCCTGGGTGTCCAGCCAGGCCTGAGTGAAATGGGGCAATGTTAGGATGCCGGCTTCTCACATACTCGCCCTCCGAGGGTCTCAGGTGGCCTCTGGCCTCCAAGAGATCCAGGCATTTAGCATCTGGAGGCAAATCAGAGCCCAGAACCTGCAGCCCTGGGGGTGGGAATAGAGAAGGTTCTAAAGAAAGATTCCAGAGGGAGCCAGGCACTTGGCTAGGGCCAAAGGCTAGTAGCCTCTGGGCTGTGACCCCTGAGACTAGGGTAGGAAGCTTGAGCCTCTAGGTTTCCAAACCGGGAGGCATGAAGAAGGCGAGGGCAGTGCCTGGAGGGCGCAGTTGGGGAAGGCCCCACGAACCCTGGCACTCAGGCATAATTAATATACAGCTTGGATGGGGATGCCCAGGGCAGGAGACAAAGGACAGCAGGGGTATCTAGGGCCCAGGGGACAGGGACTGTCATCTACCAGGGTGGGGGACACAGGGCTGGGGTGCCCATGGTACAGAAGAGGAACCATGAGGAACAGGTGAAGGGCCCACAGGGAAGCCCCAGAATCCTGGTGAGGATGCACAGGGCAGGGTCTACAAATCTGGGTGCGAGGATGTACCCAGGGTCCAAAGGACAGAGTGCAGGGGTGGCAAGCTTAGCTCGGGATCCACAGTGCAAGACAGGCAAGCAGGGCTGCAGTCTGGGGGACACGGATACAAGTGCGGCTTGGGTTGAGGGCACAGGGAATGGGGTACACTGGAGTGAGGGGAGGCTTGGGACTGGGGGCACGCAGGTGCAAGCAGGGCTCAGGGTCTGACTGCACAGCAGGCTAGGGCAGGGCTTCTTAAACCTTTTTCACTGCGATCCCTTCAGCACTTCTTAAACAGTGGGTGGTGACCCTGGCTAGGGTTCACAGGTAGAGGAATACAAATAGGGGCTCGGTGTGACTACAGTGTAATTGGCTACACTATCTGTGGTGCTGGGAGACAAGTGAGGCTGGGCTGAGATACACCTGTGCAGGAGGCATAGGAAGACAAGCAAGGCTGATCCAGGATGCAGGGAGCACACGGGGTGCACTGGGTACGGGGGCACCAGGGGACAAGCAGGGCTGGGGTAGGGTGTAGAGGCGTGGGGGGGACAAACAGGGCTTGTCTGAGGTGCAGGGGGTGCACTGGGCGCGGAGGCGTGGGGGGAGGGGACAAGCAGGGCTGGGCGGGGGGGGGGGCAGCAAGGCTGAGCCAGGGTGCAGGGAGTGCGCTGGAGGCGGGGACGCCGGGGGATGAACTGGGCTGGGCCCGGGCTCGGCTCCCCTTGCACGGAGCCGTGGGTGCACGCGTTGCCGGGCTCGGGGTGCGGGACGCCCGCGGGCGGGCTCACCAGCGCCAGCGAAGGACTCTCCGGTGCAGGCCCGTAGTCCAGGGAGAAGAAGATGTCCCGGGCGCTGGACGCCCCACGCGACGTCGCCGTGGCCACCGCCATGCCGCCCGCCGAGCGCACAAGCCCACAGCCCGCCACCCAGGCCGCTTGCTGCCCCGGGACACTTCTGGGAATCCACCTAGCGATGCCTCCCTCCACCGCACGCCCCGCCTCCCTTTCCCGCTGTAGCCTCCTATTGGCTCACGAGCAATACCGGAAGTGTGGCGCCAATCGCCGGATGAGGCGGGGCCTTGCGCCGGAAGTGTGGCCTGAGGCCCAAAGTGCGGCTTCCTAGGTGACGGCAGCACCTGCTAGCCACCGGAAGTGGAGCTGGGGGCGTCTGGAAGGGTCTTGGGTGCTAGGGCTGGGGTCTGAGCGATTTGTTCGTGAGTCCCGCCTCCTCATCTCTAGTGCCCCGGCTGCCTGCTCTGTACCCGGAGAGAGTTGCGATCTCTAAGCGTTCTTTTGACTCGGGAGCCCCAGGGGTCCAGGCAAGAGGGGTGTCTCCCCTAATTCCCGTAGCCCCCGAAGGGGTCCCGTCGTGCCTGAGTAAGGTTTACCGAGATTCCCTAAGCGAGCTTTAGGATTGGGACCAGGAAAGGAGGAAGGAGAGGGCACTGAATCCCCCAGCCCTTGTCCACAGGGCAGACCTTTCAGACCAGCGAGGATCTCTAAGCGTCCTTTAGGTGTGGGCCCGCAGCTGCCCTCTCCCAGGCCCCCAGGAGCACGGGTGAGTGGGAATCTCAGCCTCCTTTAGGCCTGTCTGGGGAGGGAAGGAGGTGGTGGTCCCTTGGATCACCTATGGTCAAGCCCTGCCAGGGGGCAGGTTGGACTCCTGGGGGTGGGGGAGGAGCAGAAAAGGGGGGGTCCCCTCCCCCACCGCCCCATTCCCCAGGAGCCCTGACCTTCCGTGATGTGTCCAGCAGGCTGGTCCAGCCCTAGGATCTCTAAGCGTCCTTCCTGAGGGGCTGGCTAGGATCTCTAAGCCTCATTGGACGCAAGTAAGCCCCCCACCTCTTAGAGACTATGGCTTCGGCCTCCGGCTCAGACCCGGGCCGGGACAGCTCCTTGCTGGCTGCAGAGCTGAGGGAGGAGGCCAGAGCAGAGGCAGAGGAGGAGAACAGGGGCCTGTGTGAGCAGATGCTGCTGCAGGTGGGCAGGGGTCTGAGGAGGTCTGGTGGGTCTGGGGAGGTGGAGGTTCTAGTTGCTGATTCTGGGCTCCATGTCCCTGCAGGCCATGCAGAAGATTCTGGATGCCCAGTCATCCATGCCTGACTCCAGGCAGATCCAGCCCAAGCCTGGTAAGAGGAGAGGAGTGGGAGGCAGAGACGGGGAAAAAAGAGAAAGAAAGAAACAAAACACGGAGGCAGAGAGGGGCAAACGGAGATATGGACATATGAAGAAGGAGCAGAGACATGGGGCTGGGGTCAGTGGCCGCAGCGAGCCTGTGACTCCCTGACCCTGTTTCTATCTCCATCTGAACTGATTTGGGGTGGGGGGGTGGTCTCTGTTCTCCTGTCTCTTCTTGTGTCTGGGCATCTGCCTCGGTTACCCCATGGCCCTGTCCCCTCTAGGTTTCTGCGTCAAGACCCGCTCCCCGGAAGGAAAGGTTTTCATCAACGTCTGTCAATCGAACGCCATCCCGGCCCCGGCCGATCTCAGTGAGCAGGAGCTGCTGTGTGTGCTTGAGGGGGACCAGGCTGCCTTCCGCATCCCCATGAGCCTGGGAGAGCCCCATGCCGAGCTGGACCGAGGTGGGCCTGGACACCAGCCCTCAGCCCCGGATGTTGTCTCTCGCCCTCCCTGCCGCTCCTAGCACCTCCCTGGGCAGGGTCAAGGCCTGCTGGGGGTATCTCTGTTTCCCATCTGTCTGTCTCTGGTTTGGGTGGTTCCCTCCTTTCATCTCACACGTCTCTCTGTTCATCTTCTTATCTGTTTGTGTTTTATTGCCACTATCTTTCTGCCTCCCTGGACTCACCCTCTCTCTCACTCAGCTTGTCCCTGGGTTTGTCTCTGTCCCTGTCTCACTCCCCCTTCCATCTGGGCCTGGGCTGGTGGGAGGGAGGTTGAGGAGGTCCCAGTCCTCAGCATCTGTTGTGCTCACCTTCACTAGGAGGGAACGGCTGCACTGCCTATGACGTCGCCATCAACGGTGACTTCTATAAGAAGCTGCGGGTATGGGCGAGGGGCTGTGAGGAGGGAGGGCAGGGGGGGAGGTCAGAGGAGCTGCAGGAACCTGGGGAGTGGGTTCTGAGGGGGTTCAGGCTGTGAGGGATGTCTCCCCATCTTTCTCCAGAGTAATGATTTCTTCTTGGAGTTTTTTGTCACGGTGGCCATGGAGGGTTTAGAGGACAAATATGGGACCCAGCTCAGCCGAGGTAAGGCCTTCCTCAAGGGCCTGGGGTCTGGTGCTTGGCAGGGCTTCAAGGAAGCCAGGCACAGCCTGCTGATCCCCATTTCTCACTGCCTGCAGAGTGGCGCCTGCTGAAATACCGGCCCTTCCTGGGCTCTATCTCCCAGCAGAACATCCGCACCCAGAGCCAGCCGCGGCCTCCGACTATCCAGGAGCTTGGGGACGGGTGAGAGGGGCCGGAGGCAGTGTGCCGTGCAGGGGGCCCTGTGCCTTCCTGTGTCCTCCGTGGCCAGGCCTCCTAGCCCCTGCCCTGTGCACACCCTGCACCTGGCCCTGCTTAGTTCTGCTTTTCTCTGTTCTCTGTGCCTGTGTGTGTGGATGCAGAAATGGGTTTTGCTTCACGATCCATGTTTGCAAAGGGGATTTTGTTTGTCATGCTTCCTCGGTAGGCAGATGGGAAGAGGTGGGAGGGAGAGAAAGTGAAAGGTCTTTGCAGACAGGGACGCTTTCTTCTTCGCCATTGTAGCCCTAGTACTACACACAGTAGGCACTTAATAAATGCTTATTGATTGATTGTTCCTGTCTCTCCTCGTACCCCAGCACCGAGGATCCCCCTCTGAGGCTTTGGCTAGAGGCCCCAGACCTGCTTCTGGCTGAGGTGGTCTTGCCCAAAGTGGTAAGTGCCAAGAGCAGGTAGGCCTCCCAGGCACAAGAGAACACCCAGTTGGGGTGGGGAGCAGTGGAGCCTGGGATTTTCCCATCAGACCCAGAGGGCTGGAGGGCTCTGGTACCGAGGAAGCCAGGGTTCAGAATAGGCTTTTATGTCATTCTGCCTCTCCGTCTGTTCCAGGACTCTGCCCGGGAGCTCTCACTTCAGCTTGGGGGGGACCGACTGGTCCTGGGGTCACCTGGAGCCCCCCTATCACGTGGACATCTTTGTCCCCCATGATATTAGCCAGGAACAGTGCCGAGCTGCCTTCAACCAGAAGAGCAAGGTGGGCCCAGGAGATGCCCGGGGTGCAAGTGGGGTGGGTGGGCCGGGCCCCAGGAGCCAGCCGGGGTGCCTGGTTCTTCAGTGCCTACCGTCTCTCCTGCAGACCCTGATGATCTCCATGCCCCTGCAGACAGCCTGCTCCTGAGCAGCAGGACCTGGACCCCTTGGGTAGATGTCAGGCACGGCCGGACTGCCTCCCTCGCCTTCCCGTGGCTCGCTATAAAATAAAAGATTTTTACCTGGAAGAACTCAGAGTTGGGGCTGAGGCCTGGCTCAGGGATGGGGCGTCTGTGGGGTGGCTGGGAGGAAACTCCAGGGCCCCCAGCAGCGTGGTGGCAGAGTTCAGGGACCAGACACTGGGTGAGGCCAGGGAAGACGGCTCTGCATCAGGCAGGTTTTATTTTACTGAGGGGAGACCAGGGGGACCAGAGTTCAGTGAATGACAGGTGTTTGAGGAGAGAGCATTGATGAGGAGGGGAAGGTGGTACCTGAGCTGAGGCTGGAAAATGCTAAGAGGAGGCAGTGTGTATGGCGTGGAGGATCCAACCGCCAGGGAGGGAGGTCATATTGGAAGAACAGCCTCTAGGCTTGGGCTGGAATGTCCCAGGGAGAAGGGGCTGGGGAAGGAGGCGGGAGCTGGATGCCAGGCTGGGGAGCTTGTTTCATCCCAGAGATGACGGGAAGCTCTGATGGCATGCCACAATCCCACCTCCCTCCACTTGGGCAGCTGAGAGGAGAGGTTGGATTTGGGAGGCCAATGAGGAGACAATCCAATACCCCAGAAGTGAGAAGGTGAGTGTGGGTGAGGGCTGTGTGTGTGGTGGGACAAGGCGGACGTCAGAGGTGGTGCCAGTGAGATCAATGGAGTGAGGGAGAGGGAGAGGTCTAGAGTGACTCCAGGCTGAGAACCCGGGGGACAGGGAGGATGGAGAAGGTAGAAGAAGGGGTGGTTTGGAGAGGATGGTGAGGATGTGGGACCAGAGCTAGAGGGACACTGAGGCTGCTCATGAAGAGGCATGAGATGGTAATTAGATCCCTGGGAATTAAGGAGGTCACCACACAAAAAATAGCATGTGGGGACAAGAGAAGAGGGCTCAGGACAGAGCTTTGGGGGCACCTAGAGCGTGTGATACGGATAGGGCCCCAAAAGAGGACAGAAAGCAGTGATGGGGTCGGGAGAAGGCATGTAGAGGCTGTGTCATTGAAACATATAGAGGAGAAGGTCATCAGATGGGGCAGTAGAGAGGTCACTGGGGCCTGTAGGGACCAGGAGACCGGAGGATGGCAGGGAGTTGGATAAAGGAAGGCCGCCAGAGCAGGTCCAGTTAGTCCTGAAGGTTTGGGTGTGGAGGGCCCACAGGAGAGCCCTTGGTCCCTGGGACTGCAAAGGGCACCATAGAACCAGGGGCTACGAGCTTCAGAACCCCCTGAGAAGAGGGCCTGTACCCCTCCCTTTCTGTAGCTCTGTCGGGGTCTGGGAGCACTGGAAGTGAGCCAGTTCTGAAAATCTGTGAGTTTGGTCCTGTGCCCCTGCCCTGCTGGGTCCCCTGGCTGTGGAAGTGGAGGAGGCAGGTGGCTTGCAGTCCTCCCCATGGGCCAAGCAGAGCAGCCCTTGAGATTCTGGGCCACCGTTTGTCCCTAAGACATAGCAAGGCCCCACAGAAGGACTCGAGGGTTGGGTACTCAAGGCTTTGAACTTATTTCCTGCTTGCCAAAGCTCCTGGAGGGCCTGTGCAGCCGGTCGTGCCCAGCCGTGGGCCAGAACTCCGTCCACCCTGGACTGTAGGCCTGCACCTGTCCAGGCCCCACACTGATGGCGACTCTGGCCTCCAGCCTGCGTAGGCCCCGGGCTGCCCAGCCCCAACCTCTCTCTGCTGCAGTTCTGTCTCCTCGCGTTCCCACCGTCTCTCTCCGTGTCCTCCATCTCTCGTATCCCCGGGTTACCCAAACTGTTGTCTTCCCTGGGTGTCTGGCTCCCTTGGTCTCTGTCTGTATCTGCTCTTTTCCCTCAGTTGCTGGCCTCACCTTGTCTCCTCCGTAGAATGGGAGCTCCCTGCAGGCCAGTTGTTTTTGACCTGGTATCTGCAGCACCTGGCATTCCTTGCCCTTAATAAAGGCTTGCCAAGTGAAACTGAAGTCCACTTCTGTCTTCTCCCTTTAAGACTTAGCTTAGATTCCCAACTCCCCAATCTCTGTACTCCAGGGAGCAAGGTCTTCTGTGAGAGTCTTGGAGTCACCAGGGAGAGCTCGGCCCCAAAGATCTCTAAGCCCACAATCTGGCTGCATCCTGTTGTCTCAGGCTCTGCCTGTCTGTGGCTTCCTGCTTCTCTTTATTTGTCTCTCTGCTTCTCCCAAAGTGGTCAGGACTTGCACATAGGCAAGGATTTGCCTTAGTCTCTCTCCTGACCTCCAGTTTTGCATTTCTGACTGCCTATTGGACATCTCAAATTGGATGTCCCAGAGAGGTCTTAAACTCAATCTGGCCCAAACTGACCCCACAACCAAGGTGGCACAGTGAAAGGAGCGCTGTACTGAAGTCAGGAAAACCTGAGTTCAGATCCAACCTCAGCGCTGCAACTAGCTGTGTGACCCTGGGCAGGTCTCGGCTTAGGAGAGATTGGATTTGGGAAGCCAATGAAGAGACAATCCAGTACTCCACAAGTGAGGTGACCAGCTGAATGTGGGTGAGGGTTGTGTGCCTCGGTTTCCTCGTCTGTAAAGTTGGGATAATGGCACTTACCTCCCAAGATTAAGGATCGAGGGTAGTGTTTGTATGGCACTTAGCACAGTGCCTGCCTGGTACATAGTAGACACTAAATAAATACTTGTTTATGGAATACTGATCTACTGATTAACCACTTCAGTGTAGTCCAATAGAAAGAGCTAAGGATCTGGGCATTTCTACAAGGGTGTTTCACTCTGTGCAGAGCTGGGGGCACCCTGGCAGTTCTCACAAATAGATAAATTGGTCCAGGTGTCCAATTTTCCCTTTTGGCTTGCCCTTGGCTTTTGAGATACATTTCCAGTGTGCGATGAAGGCCAGTCATGTGGCTCAGTACACCCCCCATTCTGCTGACTCTGCCTTCAGCCCTGACTCTGCCCCTGTTCTCCTCATCCCTAACTGTCCCTGGCCCTGTGTTCTGCCTCTACTTGTAGATCTAGAGTGGTCACTGAGTCCAACCCCCTCATTTTACAGCTGGGGAAACTGAACTCGAGAAGGAAAAGTGATTGCCCAAGGTCACAGAATTAGTAAATAACAGAGTTGGGATTGGACTCTAGACCCAGGTCTGAAACTCAGAAGAAACATAAAAGCTAGAGACAGAGATGTGGGAGTCTGCTGCGGGGAAAGGACAAAAAGTTTCTCTGAATTCATCTCTGCAATTCCTGATGGCACAATACTATTCTAGTGTACTGCACACAGGAGGCACTTCACAAATGCTTTGTTGACTTCCATTTCTGTCTTTTATTTGGTACTTTCGTTTGGTCAGCCCTCTTGGGGGGATGGGCACCCACACAGCTTCCAGATCTTTGCTCTGGCCAAATTTCACTGTAAGTAATTGTGAACATGGGAGATCTTTCATCTGCTTCAGTTACAGGCCCAGTAGTGGCATCACTAGGCCAAAAGGCACCTTCATTTTGGCACCTTCTTTGGTTGAATTCCCAACAATTTAACAGAGACTGGGCCATGTTACAGCTCCACCAACAGGGCATTTATGTGCATGTCTTGTGACAGCCATGCCAACGACTGTGATTTTCTTTTGGTGTCAGCTTTGCCAATCTGATGGAGGTGAGATGACGTCTCCATGCTTTTTAAAATGGACATTTCTCTAAGTAGTAGAGCTTTGGTGCTTTCTGTGGTTGTTGGCAGCTTGCGTTTCCTCTTTCAGAAACTGCCTGTTCCTAACTCTTGATCACTTGTTGACTGGAGAATAGCTTTGGTTTGTTTGTGGGTCATTGAACCTGTGGGAGCTAATGAGATCAGTAAGGAAGACAGTGTAGACAGAGAAGAGGGTCCAGGACAGAGCTTTGGGATATGCCCACTGTCAGAGGGCATGATATGAATGATCAGGACTGAAAAGGAACAGCCAGACAGGTACAATGAAGACAAGAGATGGAATCATAGAATGCAAGAATTGGAGCATCTGCTCAGCATCTGCCCAAGAAATGGCCATCTGTTCTCTGTTCAAGGACCCCCAAGGTTGGAGAAACCCAGCACTGCAGGAGGTGGCCCCTGGAACAGAACACTATACTCCATCTACAGTCTGACAAGAGCAAAGAGCCACGGGGCTCTTATATTCCGATTCCTAGAAACTCAGCCCTCTTAATGCAGCCTGTGATCCCAATCACATTGGCAGTCACATGACACTGTCAACTCACATTCACCTTGCAGGCCACTCAGATCCCCGGAGGTTTTTCAGAACAACTGTTGCCCAACTATACTTCCTCGAACTTGTCCTGGGGAAGTTTGTCATTTGTCCCATTGTACAAGACTGTACATTTCTGCTTATTGAATGTCATGTTATTAGCCTCAACCCATCAAGATCTGCCTCTGTCTTCTGGTACGTAAGGCTCAGTGGCATCTGCCAATCTGATGATCACACCTTCAGTGTCTTTATCCAAGTCATTGATAACAATGTTCGACAGTCCAGGCCTTGTACAGATCCAGGGGATCTGTGTGGGTCTCCCCTGGAGACCTCCTGCCACAGTGACTCTATGCTACTACCTTCTCTGACTCCTGCCATTCAGCTTGTTCTGAATTGATCTAATTTCATTGTCATCTGGTTCATCTCCACAGCAACACTAAGAGACATTTTATCAAAAGCTTTGATCAGCAAAGTGTATCCACAGCATCTTCTCAGTTTAGTGATACTGCCAAAAATGGAAACGAGGTTGGTCTGGCATAACTCATGCTTGCTGAAGCCAGGTTGGCTCTTCAAAGCCATTGCTTCTCTTTCTAGATGTTTGACAACCATCTCTCTAATGATCAATTCCTGAACTTTCCTAGGAATCCAAGTCAAGCTCATAGGCTTATCATAGCTTGCAGACTTACTCTGTTCTATTTTCTGGAAAAAAAAAAAGGGTAACATTTGTCTTTCGGCAATCTTATGCCACCTCTCCCATTTTCCAAAATCTTTCCAATGTCCCTGACAGTGACTCAGCAATTACACCTTTCAATGCCTTAAGGACCCAAGGATGGAGCTCATCTGGGCCAGGACACTTGAACTGCCCAAAAGCGGTGAAGGCT